TGCTGGCTTTATGATCTGCAGCTCCTGAACCCAACCATTCGTGAACTGCACGAGACTCCAAGGACTTGTAGCTTCGGAACTGTTTTGAAGTATAGGCGCTCACTCATCGGTGCTCCACTCATTGTTAAGAACTTCATATGGATCCAAATTATTAATAATGCTGATTTTGTCAACATACCGGTCCCTGGCTTCTCTATTTAATGTGTCCCGGTAAATTCCAGATCCTTTTCGGGACTTTAACATCTATTTTTCTCTGTAATTGTACGTCTCTTCGTTCAACAACAACGTTGCATCAGAGCTATGTTTACGTTCACGTAGCCATCAACATGGCCGCCACGTCCCACAATGCATCACGGATCCCAAGCCCAATACGGGACAATGCTATTAGCCTGGAGGGGCTAACGCTATACCACGCCGATAGAAACAAAGAACTAAGCGGTAAGACTCTGGCGGGGGTGGGGGGGGTTTACATCAACAGCAGCTGGTGGAAAAGTGGTGGAAAAGTGGTAGATCAGTCGCTAGCTTCTGCTCTCCTGACATCGAGTATCTAACTGTTAACTGCAGGCCGTTCTATCTGCCCAGAGTTCAGTGTGGTTAGCATCACTGCTGTTTATGTGCCCCCCAGTGCTAACACTAAAGAGGCCATGAAGACCCTATACCAGCCTATCTCTGAGCTCCAATCTGCACACACAGATGGTGTTCTCATCATTGCTGAGGATTTTAACCAGGCTAACTTGAAGACTGTTCTCCCTCATTTTTTACCAACATGTGTTGGGATCTGGAGATCTACCACCTGTCTCCAGCAGAGAGCGCTGTGGGTCTCCTGGGCTGGAGCCTCTCGCACACCTGAGGATCATCAGCCCATCAGGAGACCTCCTACATAAGCAGCAGCCAGACCTGTCTTCGGCGCCGGAGAGTTGACCAGTTTTGGTTAGCGGAACCTGAGCCTCAGTTAAACTTTGAGAATCTCTGTCTGCTCTAGAGAGCAACCTGATTCTAACCAGCCTCTGTCTTTTCTGTTCACAGGAGAACCCGATTGAAGTCTGTAGCTCTGGAGGAGCTTGTGCTTGTAAACCTGCTTGCCTGCCCAAGGAAGCCAAACCTGAAGACTATCAGTCTGAATTCCCCAGCTAGTTCTCAAGGGAGAACTAGAAGGACTACTCAAGGTCTGAACCTTGTAAGCTTGAAGCTGAACGCTGCCGCTGCTGAGCTCTCTGCTGTCTCTGCAGTCTCTGGACCCAACCGGTTCCCTCTCTCAAGCGATCAGTCTGAACCTCATCAGGTACAAACCAGAATCAAACCCCTGACAAGTCATCACTGTTACCTGGCTAACCAAACTATTCATCTCTTCAGATTACTCTGTGATTCCAGTCCCGGACCAGAACCAGAACCTGCTCATTCATAACATTTCTGTGCTTCTCTTTAATAAACTGTTAAACTTTTACTCCGTTTCCTGTGGTGTTCTGCATGTGGGTTTAAACACAGAGACCCATCATGACAACATGTGGACTTTGTAACTCGGGGTGAAAACACTTCAGACCTAGTTTACTCTGACATCAAAGATGCATTGAGAGCAGCCCCCTGCCTCCACCTTGGTTCATCAGATCACCTATCTGTCATGCTTATCCCTGCACAAAAGCCCCAGCTGATCAGGGCTAAACTGACAGTTAAAGAGTTCCGAGTCTGGTCTGAGGGCGCCATGGAAACACTCCAAGACTGTTTTGAATGCTCTGACTGGAATATCTTTAAGGCTGCAGCAACATATGATAACTTCTTAAATATTGATGAGTATGCCATGACTGTGTCAGCCTATATCAACAAATGCATTGAGGACGTCAGCATCAAAAAGAACATCATCACCCAGGCATACCAACCACCCTGGATAAATGGAGAGATTTGGAAATTGCTAAAAGAACGGAACTAAGCTTTCAAGTCTGGTGATAAGGAGGCACTAATAACAGTGCATGCCAACTTAAACCGTGCCTTCAGATCAGCGAAGCAGAACCACAGTCAGAAGATCAAGGATGCTGATGAAGATTCTCAGTCATCCAGCACTGAACAGCATATACCACTCCACTCATATTCAGTCTGGGGGTTTTATCTTTAGGATGCACTAGTCTGTGTGGGCTGAAATTTTCTGGGATTTTGTGTTTGGAAAAAATCCTCTTGAGTTTTTCAGAGACTCCAGCAACATAAGGGATTGTGATTTTTTTGCGTTTAATTTTCTCACCGCTATCTTCTGCTGCGTGCCTTTTGGATTTCCTTGCTGATTTGATAAACACCCAGTTTGGGTATCCGCAGTTTTGGAGAGCATCTTTGATGTGTTTCTGTTCTTTATGTTTCCCTTCTGTTTTAGTAGGGACATGTTCTGCCTGGTGTTGTAAAGTTCTGATGACAGAGTTTGTGTTCCAGTGGGTGGTGTGAGTCAAAAACAAGATACTGGTCTGTGTGAGTAGGTTTCCTCTACACTTCAGTGTTTAGGCTTCCAACTCCTTCTATGGTCACCAGACAGTCCAGAAAAGGTAGTTTGTTGTGCTTGGCATCCTCTCTGCTGAATTTGATGTTGTGGTCAACAGAGTTGATGTGTCTCTTAAAAGCTTCCACTTCCTTTTGCTGTATTTTGATGAATGTGTCATATCTAAACCAGTGGCTTGGTGGTGTTCCATTGAAAGTGTCTAAAGCTCTCTTTTCCATTTCTTCCATGTAACGATTGGCTACAATTGGTGACACTGGAGATCCCATTGCACAACCATGCTTCTGTCTCTGAATCTCTGAATTTGAAATCTGAAACAGCTGGGATTCAAAACACGCTTCCGCAATTGGCTGCTAGACTTTCACACCTCTGATGTCAGTCTAAGCACAGGCTCCCCTCAGGGCTGTGTCCATAGCCCCCTACTCTTCACCCTGATGACACATGACTGCGACCCCAGGTTCACCACTAACCACATTGTGAAGTTTGCAGACGACACCACGGTGGTGGGCCTTATCAGGGATGACAACGACCTGGACTACAGAGAGGAGGTGGAGCAGCTGGTGGACTAGTGCAAAGATAACAGCCAGATCCTGAACGTAGAGAAGATGAAGGAGATCATCTTGGACTTCAGGAAGAACCGTCCTAACCACGCTCCACTGGTCATCAACAGCTCAGCTGTAGAGGTGGTCAACAGCATCAAATTCCTGGGGGTGCACATCACAGACACCTTCACCTGGAATGTAAACACCACCTCACTGGTCAAAAGGGCACAGAAGTGCATGCACTTCTTGCAAAGGATGAGGAGAGCCCACCTGCCCCCACCCATCCTCACCACCTTCTCCAAAAGCACCATAGAGAGCGTTCTGACCAGCTGTCTCACTGTGTGGTGTGGAGGCTGCAGCACCTCAGACTGGAAGAAAGTGAGAAGAGTGTTGAGAATAGCAGAGAATATCATTGGGGCTCCTCTTCCCTCCATAAAAGACATTTCATCCCAGCACTGCGTGTCCCGAGCGCGTAACATCATAAATGACCCCTCACACTCCCACAATGGACTATTCTCCCTGCTGCCCTCTGGGAAGAGACTTCGAAGCATTGAATGCAGGTCCAGCAGATTCCATAACAGTTTCTTCCCCACTGCCCACTGAATGTTTTGTAGCATGGGTTATTGTATTGTATTTTATTATTATATATATATATATATATATATATATATATATATATATATATATATATATATATATATATATATATATATATATATATATATATATATATATATATATATGTTTTTTTTTTTTTTTTTTTTTTCAAACAAAAATTATTTTTGTTTAACACTTGTGTAAACAAAATGACAAATAAAATCTGTCTAAAGTCTAAGGTCTAAAAATAAGAAACCAAAATCAGATATAAGATAAGTACTAAACTTGATAATAATGATTTTACAGCAGAATATACAAAAGTATATCCATGTCTAGTAAAGGTATAGAATGATGTAACGATGAAGAGGCAAGGGGGGGTGGGGTGGGGGTGTAGGGGGCGAACCCAGAAAATGCCTAGCGGCATTCTCCAGGCTTTACAAGCAATATCAATGGGAACTACTACAAACATCTGATTTCGAGAGGACTTCACTATTGAAATTCGCAAGAGCCATAGTTAAACCAGCGTGCATGGCAGTTGGATGTTGTAATACATCGGATAAAATGTCATTTCACCTTTCCGATTCATAATCCTCCAAGGACGGGTTCATCGTTGGATTGCCAACTTGAAGAGGGAGGATTTGCCATCCAACTTCTGGCCAAAGAAAAAACACATACTATGTAGGCAGCATTTTGAAGAATGTTCTCAAGATGACTTGGATAATAGCGAGTTGTGACAAACACCAGATACAGCACTCTGACTTCATCAACAGCCGATACCGCACCATGATGTCACAAACCAGTAGTGTTGTTTGACAAAAATATATGTCTCCAATAAAGCACATTGAAATGAATAATTCTTCATAAAAACACTTATCATTTGTTGACCAGTATGTAATAATTTCATATTTAATGTACTTTCAGAAGTTCCTTCTAAATAGTCTAACAGTTCTGTGCTTTCCCTGATATTACTGTATTACCAACACTTAAACTGATACTAAAAATGAGTAGCTTTAAGTATTTTGTATTAGCATACACCTACAAAAAAAGTTATTGAAGTGGTTAGAAAAAATATATTTTTTTAGTTTCTGATTAATAATTTGAAGATGAAAACTTGTCGGCACTGTTTATCAGTAAAATAATTTAAAAGTGCAACACTTTAACTTTGGATTTTGCTCTGTTTCTCGGAGCATAGAAGAGAGTATCAGAAAGACTGGTGCAACACCAGTTTTTTGTCAGATTTAACACACAGATTGAAAAGAGAAAGAGTTTATCAAACTGATCTTATTTTTAAACCAACATGAAGCTGGTTAACCTTGATAATCTTTATGTTTGGTAAAGTCCAACGAAGATTTCAGTAGCACAACGTTTCATTAGAGAAAAGACAGATGACGTGTCTACAACATAATTTATTTCAATGACCAAATAATTAAATGTTTGCAAGTTAAATATGGAGAAATTTCAAAGGGAAAAAAAAAAGAATAGAAATCACAAAATGTCATCAGACTATGCAGTGCAAAACACTTCAATCCATGTAATCTCCCCCAAGGTTATGAGTCCAACTGGGAGTGGGTAAGGAGCACAATGATGCGACACTGTTTTCAGCCCCCTTTTGTATTTTTTACAAGTCATTGCTTGTGGATGTTCTCTGTCAAGTAATTTGGGTCACAGCAAAGCTGAAATGCCTTAAAAAAGGAAAAAAGAAATCCCTAAAAGTTTTTTCAGCACAGGGCTTGGATTGTCCAGATTTGTAGCCTCAGTAGATGGCTCGCATACTCTGAGCATCTGAGGGTGCTGTTGGTGGTGTGTGATGTATCTGGCCTGACTGGGCCAGACCTAAATGTGCCCCCTGCTGCTGGTACCAGTTATGCTGTGCAAACTCATCCATGTAAGCAGAAGAGGAACTAACTGGAGGCTGATAGGGCCCCTGGCCCCTGCTGGCAGGATCCAGCATTGAGTTATTCTTCAGGCTGTTGTCGTTTGTGACGTTGCTTATACTGTTGCTGCTGCCATTTGTGTTGTTGCTGCTGGTGGTGTCCCACACAGCCGGGGATGGGGGAGAGTTGCAGGCCATGGAATCGCTGGCATCTGGGCTATGTTCGCAAGGGATTTCCCCCAGTGGAAACTCTCCATTCTTGTAGAGCTTCTTAAACTTGGAGCGTCGGTTCTGGAACCATATTTTGACCTGAAACAAAGAACATTTAAAAACACAGTGTAAAGATTTTTTTTTTTTTTTTAAGAATTTGGAAAATGTTTTGTTCACCAAGCAAAAAATGGATCAACAACTTAATGACCAAACATTCATTTTTCTGACCTTAACTGCAATTATTAGAGTTAACTATAAGAGCACAATCTGACAAATGAAAAATCAGATTAACTAATCAGCAAAAACAACTTGGCTTTTCTTCACCTCAATTTAATGCTTGAGTTATCATCCAGATGCTGATTTTGTGCCTTTGTTCCAACGTCTCTGCTCTTCCATACTGTCATAGTTTTTAACCTTTGTCTTCACTATACTCAGCAGTAGGTGTGTGATCTCAGCCACTGCAATGACCACAGATCATTTCTCCTCTGAGTTACTCAGTTGCCTCTGAGTGAGTAATAATTCTTGCTGAAGGCTGAATCTGAAGTCACTCTGAGCGGGCCAATGCTTTATAGTTGTTGTCCGGGTGGACACACAGAGATAGAGATCCCAATGTCTTCAAAACCTCCTGCTACTTATAGGCTTAAAGCTTAAAGCCTGTATGAAACAGAATGGTTTTATGGTATACTGTTAACTCAGAGAATAGGAACAGCCTTTAAACTTTGGGCTTCATAGTTGAAGTAAAATGCTGTTGGGGAGAAGGATCTCTGGTTCAAGCATAGTTTATCCCACTCAGAAAGTAATTGGTGAATAAATCTTATTCATAGTGAGGAAAATGCCTAAATACAGATGATTAGAGATCCATTTTCAAGAAGGAATATGGAGGGTAAAGCCTAGGAATCTAGATTTAAATCATATGGCACATGGCTCCCATGTCTAGCTTTTAGCCAATCACAGCAGCAGTAGCAGCTGTGACGTATCGCATTCTTGATTTGTTTTACAACTGGCAGAGTTACTCTTACCAAATCTGTCTGGGATGAATGCGCAAATATCTTCCAATCCACAAAGGCAAAAATCTAGTCATTCAGCTCGTTTTTCAAAAAGAAAAAAAGGGTATTCCAAGAGTGCAGTGCAGCCATGTTTGTTTTGCTTTGGCTTTCCGCCTCTGGCTGACGCATTGCAGTCAAAGACGTCACTATATTTGAATGGACTGAAACATTTCTGTATCAACGCTAATGGATCTATTGGCTTCTGCAAGGTAATCACTTTCCACTCTCTACTAGATTCTAATTATATTCTCAAGTTTTGCATTATTTTTTTAGTTCAACCCCAGATTTTATGTTTTCTCTGATTGTCCTCGTTATAGCTAGTTCATCTGGACTTAAACCAATCTACCTGTATGACCTTGCCTTTTCTTGAGATAGCATGTTGCGATTTGGTGCTATGCACATATATAAACTCAACTGAACGCAAATTTAATTGAATATTTAGCTTCTTTCATTCTCCTCTGTCTCTAATGAAAACACCTTCCCACACCATGATGCCAGCACCACCATGTTTCTCTGTGAGACTGTGAGCCTACGGTCATGTGCATCCAATATTTTGGATGTCAAAAGTCTCTATTTTGATTTGGTTGGCCTGATAAGAGATTCCTCTTTTACATGTGTGCCCCCAATACTGAGGATGAGAGCTAGGTTGTGTAACGTACTCTGTTAAAGGTCTAAGTAGTTGAAAACATAAAATCAACAGCTTTCTTTATGATTGTTCAGAGATATTTTGTTCGTTTGTACTGATTTTTTGTTTTTTTCTTAATTTTTTAAAAGGTTATGAGCCAACATTATTTTACTTTTCAGTAGATATGTATTTTTCTCATCTCCAATCATGTATCACACATTGGATAAACACAGATCACCTTTTCATATAATAAGAGAAATAAACCAATCAATTCTAGCAAACTATTCCCAATTTTAAACCTAAGGAAGTAAAGTCTAGTTTCAAGGAACTCTTACAGATTTTCTTTTCCCTCTTTAAAAAAATGTATAAACCTCAGTGATACTGGAAATAAAAGCTTCCCACAGTAACAGCTTCCACACCAAAGGGTTTTAGTGCTTAGATATGGTGTGTTTACTGACTGAGAAAATAATGCGTTACATTTATTTCAAAATGCCCACAAGCAAAAAAAACATACTCGCATGTAAGTTAATCTGGTTCTGCCCTTGGTTTATCTACCACTGCACAACAAAAGCATACATGAACCAGAAACTGCCGCTTCGAGATGAGAAAATCGCGCACCTCCGCTCCTCGCAGGCTGCACTGTTCACGAAAGTATCTGTGCCCTCAGACTATTTTCTCCGTGCACGAAGGAAAATGTGTTTTGACAGGTTGTGCGGAGACAAACCTCTTCTGTGAGTTTCCTCCTGATTGGGCCTTGCAGACACGATCACACGGGAAGTATTCTCACGAAACCTTTGACTAAGGCTTACCACTTACCCCATGCAAACGTTGCAGAAGCCTCCACCACTGTTCCATCTTCACTTATGGATAACGAGCTCTCGGTCAAAGGCTTCCTGACACTATGATTCACTCTATCACACACTCTGTTTACCATGCTTCATTAAGGTTCATCACAAACTGTAGAGCCATGACACATCACTGTGACCTCTAATCTCAGGTGGGATGGCCTTCCCTCTCTACGAGAACGCAGTGTCATTTGCACACCTTTATTTACAAGGCCCTTCTTGGATTACTGCCCTCTTACATTTGTACCTTACTTACAGAGAAAAGCATGGCTTCTTCTGCCCTGAGATCCAACAATCAGCTGTTGCTCACTGTTCAATTTGCCCGAACAGAACTGGGGAAGAAAGCCTTTAGCTACGCAGCTCATTCTGACTGGAATATTTTACAAAGAAATTGGAAGTTCACTGAGTTTTTATAATTAAATGCTTTTAAGTTAAAAGTGAAAGAATTTGAAGCAGCCTCAATGATCTGTAATTGTTTTACTTGATGTTTTTTTATGTACCTGTCATTTATTTTAATGTATCAATCAATCAATCAATCAATCAATCAATCAATCAATCAATCAATCAAATTTATTTGTATAGCCCTTTACAATAGCCAAATGGTACCCAAAGTGCTTTACAACAAAGCCATAAAACAATACATAACACATACAAAACATACAGATACAACTAAAAGTGCTGTAGTGGTGCAGCGCTGCAGGACATTAAAAGCCTTCCAGAGGTGCATAGAAAGGAGCACACAGAAAGAGGACATCTAAGAGACAGTATTATCCTAGTCAGAATTAAATGCTAATTTAAAAAAGTGGGTTTTAAGCTCTTTTTAAAAAAGGCTGAGGTCAGTAGTGGTGCGGATGTCAGGGGGTACTTTGTTCCACAGTCTGGGAGCAGCGACGGCAAAAGAACGATCGCCCCATTGTTTGAATCTTGACCTAGGGACCTCTAACAGAAGCTGACCCGAGGAGCGTAAAGCTCTACCACAATTGCAAAAAGTTAAAATCTCAGACAAGTAAGAGGGGGCCAAGCCATGTATCTATGCTTAATGCTGCCTCTTGGCCAGGACTCCATTGAAAGAGAGGTTTTTAATCTCAATGGGATTTTTTTCCTGGTTAAATGAAGGTTAAAAAAAAATAATAAAACGAGCTGACTCGCTCGATTTTCTCCTCTCATGGCAGCAGTTTATCGCGCAAGTGTGATTTTGTTGTGCAGTGGCAGATAAGCCATGCGCAGAAGTATTTTAACATACATGCGATTATGTTTATTTTGCTTGTGGGCGTTTTTGAAATAAATGTGAGGCCTGAGAAAAGATCAAATATTTGAGCTTACAACCCAAAGTTCCCTGATGAGACCTAATATGGACTATCCAAAAGCCTTATTTCAACATACTAACCATCCCTTTAAGATAATTATTACACTTAATAATCCGGTAAAAAAAAACATAATTCGGGGCTCAAAAGGAGTTATAAGAAAAAAGGTTGATAATAAATGATCTAATGAGTTTTTATACATCACATAACTTTTTAAGTTAGTAGGAAAACTGTAATATAACTGGGACAACAGATTTAACTTGCCGTGGATCTCTCTAAGAAAACAATTAAAAGGTTCATTGTATGTTGGCTTGCATTACCAATCAAACCAAATCGAGTACATTATTTCATGGATGCTTTCTACATATATAAAAGCAGACCAGAGTAAATTATATGCTTGTGAGAGTCACTCAAGGATAACGCTGAACAATGATCTACCACAGCCACAATAAAACAAACCATACCTCAAGTTTGGACGTTATCACTCCAGTGAAGATGACTGGTAGTAAATCATTAGTGCAGAGATTATGATTTTAGATTACAAGACAAAACAACAACAACTGACAACTGTTAAATGTCAACCACAGACACTTTCCTTTCATTTTGTGTCTTGCATATATGTAGCTTTGTTAAATTTGTCTTTGTGTATGTACAGTCCCCAAATCTTTTAAATTCTTAGATTTTAACTAAAAGGAAAAGTTAAGCAAAGCTGTGAAAGGATTTGAATGTCTAAAATCTCCTGTTAAGTTATGAAATCTACTTTAAAAAATTTTAAAAAATATCCTGCTACATGGTTATGAAGCTTAAAAGTTTAGCTATTGAATTATCTGAGAACTTGACATTGAAAGTGAACACTTCCTGCTTAAGTGTGCCTTAGATCTTTTCAATAGTCTCTAACTGGCAGTGGTGTCAAAAGTTCACACATTTGTTACTTAAGTAGAAGTATAGATACTGCAGTTTAAAAACACTCTGGTAAAAGTTGAAGTATCAACTTGACCTCTTTACTCAAGTAAAATTGAAAAAGTTTGTGCTCCAAAAACTACTTAAAGTATAAAAGTATGAAGTAACCTTTAAAAAACCCCGCCAGATGCCACTAGATGAATTGAAAGCTACATTTTTTAAACTATTTTGAAAATTTCTTTGTGATAGGGCCAAGGATGAGGGAGGTCTTGTTGGTCTCCCTCTCCATCTCCCGATACGCTCTGCGTGTGTCCGACCTTTCAGACATTTCAACATCTTTTCCTGAATCCGACATCGTAACATGGCATTGAAAATTCGCCTTTGCAGTTTGAAGAACACCTGTTTGCTTCTGATGATTTCCTTTAGCTAACCAATGAGTGTTTGTGTAATATGGCTCATCCAATTACACTAGTTTTCACTAGATGTGGATGGCGCCAATGATCTGAATTGGATGGAGCACATGATAGGAAATAACATATATTTATAAACATTAAACCAGGGGTCACCAATTTAAAATAAGCGGGGTCAGAATAAAGAAAATCATCAACCAGTAAAGGTCCCGGAGACATTTTTCATGACCTGTTACTTAAAAAAAAAATTAACACTGAAATAAATAAATTTTTTAAATAGAAAAAAATCTAAAAATAAAAAATAAAAAAATAGAAAATTTTCCCACTTTAAAATCTAAAGTGTTTTTTGAAGTAGAGAACAGCAATCTTTTAGTTTGGTATAAAGACAATTTCCTGATTCACATATTTTATAAAACACACTTCTTTTTTTTTTTTTTTCTGGCTTAATGAGAGTAGTGGGATTTAGGCTGCTCTGCAAGACTTTAAACCTGGGTTTGAATGGAGACAAAGCCATTCTCAAGCACACATCAAAGTGCTCATTCGCTAGCCCGGATTGATATTTATTTTTGATTCTGTGCATAGTGGGGAATCCTGCTACACAGCAGCAGGTTGAGCCAAACATACTCTAAATGTGCAGGGTTCGCTCTGGTACGTCCAGGTCAAGATCCGCTATTGGAATCCACCAAACATGAAAAAGCATGGCGAGAAGATCCGTCAAATTAAAATATAGTAACAACAGATCGGTAACTACAAATTAGAGCATAATTTGTATATATTTTTTAAAAACTAAAACCGTTTATTTAAAAGATTGGATGCAAACTATTGGTACTTCAACAAACCAGGAAGCAGATTTATCATCTCCATCAGAAACCGTACATATGCTGGATGCTGATTCATTTCTGCATGTTTTGCTCCTACAAATTTATATATATCACGCATGCTCTCCTCGAGCTCTGAGGGTAAGTCGGAGCGCAGCAATATGGGAGGAACAGCAGAGGCTGTAGGCTTTGCTTTGCGCATGAGGTCTGGAGCACTGCTGGGCGGAGTGGAGATGGAGCTAAGACAGAGGATGTGGGATTTCGGGGTAACAGGAGCAAGTGACATCAGACAACTTGCGGTAATTTATAAATGTTTTAAATCAGGTTAGGTACAGATAGGCCAGCAGGTGGGTCCGTATTTAGACCGCAGTCTTCTAATCCGTCACCTCTGCATTAAACCAAAGACAAGAGTAACGAGTAATGTTTGTTTTAAAAATGTAAGGAATAGAAAGCACAGATACTTGTGTGAAAATGTAATGAGTAGAAGTCAGAAGTAGGAAGAAAAATAAGTAATGGAGTAAAGTATAGATACCTAAAAAGTGTACTTAAGTACAGTAACAAATATTTTTACTTTGTTACTTGACACCTCTGCTAACCGGGTAAAAATGTCATCAGGCGCCTCTCAGGCAGTAACAGTTGTTTGTTGCACAATTTTCTTCAGAAGCATATTTTATTTTTATACAGAAACACAATGAAGATGGTTGCCTTGCAGGCTTACCTGTGTTTGGGTGAGGCCCAGCTGCGCAGCCAGCTCAGCCCGCTCTGGCAGGGCCAGGTACTGGGCAGACTGGAATCTCCTCTGCAGCACAGCCAGCTGGTAACTGGAGTAAATGGTCCGGGGTTTGCGGACCTTCTTGGGCTTCCCGTTCACTATACGGACTTCCAGGTCAGGTTCCTCTTTCACTGTGGTAAGGGAAAAAGACAAAAAAAAAATGATATTCCCTCCAATGATTTGTCAACATTTTTTATGAGAGGAAAGTTTGAGCTGAGATTTTTTAGTGCAGAAATAGCCATAGCCTTTGTAACAGAACTTTCAAAGAAATTCCTCCACCACTGTGAACTTATAATTTGGTCTCAGAGTTTCCCACAACTGCGGGAAGGAGACAGAGATTTATAGGTACTTTTGCTGCAGCCTGAAGGCCTGCTTCTGTAGTACACTCCCAATTTGTACTGGTATTCCTGCAGTAAATCTTGCATGAAGAACAGATTCTTCAGTAAATATTAGCAGAATAAAGAAAACAGTTTTGCTTAATTGAAAAATAAACTAACATTAGGAAGCTGAATGTATTAAATAACAATATTACGTTTATTTAAATGAATTTCAGAGAAAGTTTTGTGATTATCAAATTGTTTTTGCTGTATTAAGGACACAATGCTGCCCCTCCCCCATCGATTGCTGTGCAGTCCCTGTGCACAGCAATCGATGGGGGAGGGGCAGCATTGTGTCCTAGAACATATTGTGTTTTTTGCATTAATACATAAAGTCCTCTGTTCGGTGTACCTTTTAGCCACTAAGGGTGCCGGATCTATACATCTAAGGTTAAGAGCCCCCTAAGCCACTTTCAATGCTGCATGTCACAAAATTATATAGTCTCTCTCTATGTCTTAAAGTCTGATATCAGAACACTGCAGACTAACAGACTGAGAAATCATGGCGACAAAAGTTTGCCGTTTGATTTCTCAAACTTACTTTGCCACTTACCCCTCTAGGTGAAATCCTACATCAGGGAACAAGAATATAACCAATCAGGTTAGTGTCAAAACAATTTTTGTTTTTTGCTAAACAACAACTTTTAGCTCTGACGTTCAGATTGCACAGCGGAGTTCTGACTGCTGCAAACCAGTGCTTTAGGTCACATGACTCATTCAGATAGGTTACATAGGCAAGACTGGAGCACTCATTTACCATCCATATTTGCCAAAAATATTCCATTAAAATGAAAGCGCAACCTGTGATTATTCTAACTCCTTAAGGTAATGCAGAGCTACCCATCACTAACATGCTGCTGTTCACTGCTAGGGGGATGGCTGAAAGAGGATCACTTTTCCTAGCTAAGAAGAAGGACATACTAGATTATTCTAGTTATTTTTAACCTTGAAAAGCAAGGACATTCATGGTGTGGAACCTGAATGTGCACTAATCATTGCTTTTATTTGGGTGATGGTGCTTAAATGACGCTGTTAATGAGCTACGCACAGCATAGCCTCTAACCCGTTTCACTAAACAGCAGAACAACAAAAAAGGTAATTTTTCAGCCCCAAAAGATCTTGTAAAAACCACCCAGCTCTGTGCATTAAAATTAAAATAACTATGAATACAAAATAGAGATAATATCATAATAGCAGCAATAACTTATAAATTGCAAATGTTTAGAAGCAGCATGAGTAACTCTAATAAAAGCATAAAAAAAACAAGTTAACATTTCTCATGAAAAATTAGAGATATATATAAGATATATATTACACTACTAAGGGAATAATCAAAAAAGAGTATTTTAAGCCAGCAAAAAAAAGGCTGTTTCAGAACACAGGAACAAAGACCTCCATGAAAACCCTAGAACATGCAAGTTTATTATCTACATAGAAAGAAGTTTTTTTTTCTTTTTTTTTTTTATCTGCCTCTATTTTTAGCCTTAAGTGTTTTTAATGATGAGTCAATTGTTAATTGTTGAGTATTGTAAATTATTTTAGAGCTGCAGTGTGGCACAGCGGAGTGCCTTGCCTTGCAGCTCTGGGTTCAGTCCCAGGATGGGGATTTTCATGTTTCCTCTTAGTGTTTGTTGGTTTTCTCCATACACTCTGGCTTTCTACCAAAGTCCAAAAACATGAATTATAGGTTAATATGTCTCTCTAAATTGCCATTGATGGGAGGCTGTGTGTGCTATAGGTTTGTCCTGTGTGTCCTTGTATTTCTCTGTTCTTAGGTTTATCCCACCTTCTGCCTATTGTCATTGGAGATCACCTGTACTCTTGCCATGAAGACAAACAAGTAGTGACAATAGATGGATGTTTTAATTGTTTGCACAACAAAATTATTTATTTGCTGAGATGGTGCTTACAGTATATGTTAAAAGCATTGGAACATTTGAATACTCTTTTGAGTTAAAATCAGAGTTGGACATATAATCTAAAAAAATTTAATCAAATCAATCTGATCGGGAAATGGGCATAACCAGTGTGAAAGGGTGACATTTAAGAAAGCCTGAATGAAAACATGATATGAAAACCACATTACAAGACAGTCTGAAAGATTTAGAGCAATACATAAAGTAAGAGGGTTGGTCGAAGATGACTGAATAGTATGTATGTCAGAATACTTGCAGAAATACTTTAAAACCTAAATTCTTACTTAATGTTGCAAAGTAAAAAAATATATATATATCAAATGTGGTGTAATTTAATTGTAATTAAAGTGCTGTAAATTGTTTTAAACCAATGTTTATTAAATTTATGTAAAAACAAAGTTGAACATGGGAGATTATTGGTATCCTTGTTTGTTTATTTATTTTTTTGGGGCGTGGCTCCTTAGCCTTGCGTGATAAGGAACTTTTTGACAGTGGATGATTCAAAGGCCAAGGCTGGCTGACATGCCATGACACGTGATGTGCCGTGGCTGTGGGCCAAAGTCCCCCGGGGCCATTTCCAGGAGTCAACTCCCAACTGGAATGCCAAAAACAGAACACCAGCCTGTCGAGTTTGTTTTCCCCACTCAGTGTGCACAGAAGCCCAACAAAGCTTGAGGAAGAGTAATATAATATATATAATATAATATATAGAGTTGGACTGACATCTGAGAATTGTTAAAATCGGTTTCTGCTCTGTAACGTAATTGAGGACATCAGTATTATTATCAAATACTGTTGTTTAAATGGAATGCATTAACATCAATAGTTCGTCTATCCGATAAATATAATCTAGTGTGATGGCCTGCTCTGCCATTTTCCCCTAAATTATTAATCCATCAAAATGGTTGCATTAATAGACAATGATTCAGTGACCATAGGTAATAATGGTCTGGCCAGGGTTTTCCTCCTCCTTCCGATTATAAGAATTTTTTTTTTCATCAAAGTCAACATAATAGTGAGTTTGTGAGAACAAGATTAGTTTAACCCTATTTATAAAAAAGAAGTAAGATTTCTCATTTTTAAAATCTCCTACAATTAAAATAAAGGCATCTATAAACCACCAAATAAAAATACAGTCCATGTTTGGCTCGACCACATTAAAAAGACATTACTGGAAAAAAAAATTTCTACTTTTTTGTCTTTTCTGTAAATATGTCAATCTCAGATTGTGTTTTCAGGAGGACTGTGTTTTCAGGAATCTATTTTAATGGTAGAAATATTTTACATTTTGGACCAAACTAAAATCAAATATGTGAGACAGCAATTTAGTTTAATAACTCAAGAAGCTATGAGGTCAGAAGTGATTTTATCGCCATAGTTAGAAATGATCTGTATCCTTTCTCTCACTATTTAATAGTTTCTTCTTCTACTCAGAATCCTAAGTGCTGTCAGTTTCCAAAACCTACTTCCTATCATACTAAAAAATAAGAGTATTCAACATAGATAGGTGGTATCAGCTATAATAACCAAAAATAATATTTTAAATGTATTTTTCAAAAATTTGCATGACACTACATTCTTAATAGCACTTTATGAAAATAGTAAAATTTTACAACTATTAAATTTGTAGATGTCTAGTGTCCTTTTAACCATTATTACATATTTTACTGTTAGTTTTTATTGTTGTTATTTCAGACTCCATTCAAGTGAAACATCTTCCCACAGCAAAAATATTCAATGCATTTAATTTATACTTAAAATCAAATAGTTTGATTATCAATTTGTAAATGTTCGCTGAAAGACAAACTTAAGAGTTGGCCCAATAAATAAACATGGCTAAACCGAAAAAAAATCATGCAACCTCTTTTGGCATTTACTTAATCATATTTGAGCCTGGTTCTGCTGGAAGTTCCTTCCTGTTAAAAGGGAATTTTTCCTCTCCACTGTCGCTACAAGCATGCTTAGTGTGAGGGATTGCATTCAAACCAATGAGTTGATGCAATCAACTAGTTTTCCTTAGATAGAAAACTAAATCAATTTGACTGTAGTATCTGGTGAACTGTAAAATGCTTTAATATGACATGGGTTGTGAATTGGCGCTATATAAATAAACTGAATTGAATGGAATATTTAGGTACTTTAACAAAATAGTTTTATGTCTTACTCAGCTAACTTGTGTTAAAGTAACTAACCAGGATTAAGTAAATTTCGAAAATGGTTGCATTCTTTTTTTCAGTGTATAAATGTGATCGGAAACAGTTATTTCATTTTCTGTTGTCAAATCAGTAACAAAGGCAGTGTAACGCAGCCTCTGTTTCCAAATTACAGTCTTTAAACAAACCTGATATGGCATCATATATCATCAACTAGTACTACTAGAATAATTTCATATCTTGCCAAAACTTATTAACATTCATGGCTTCTTCAATTAATAGAAACTGCTTTCTATTTGTCACTAAAGCTGGTCCAACAAGGGCTGAAGTCAAATAAAAAAAACAACTCATTTTTATAAAAATGTCATTGCTGTTTATTAGAAAACTAACAAATGAATCCTTATACCAACATTAAGTCATAGTGATTTTTTTACACTTAAAACAGACCCAGGAGCTGATGCTCTACTACTACTATATATACAAAAAAAAAGAATTGACTGATTTAAGTTGTTCTTCCAAAGTAAACATCTGATAAGGAAGCCATGTAGTGTAAACATTAATTCATTTTATTATTAATAAAGATTGAGGTTGTTTTTAATACAGTAGAAGACGACTTTGTTATTGGTCCTTCTCTCACTAGCTGTTAGCTTCAGTCTTAAAAGGCAAAAAAAAGACACCAGGAGAGCTTTCTACAGCAGGTAGGAATGGATGTCATCATATATGAATTCTAACTATAAAAGATTTTTATCAACTAACTTTGATGAGAATCATTTCTCATCAAAGTTAAGGTTTTCACATAGTTGGTGTTTATTCAGAAGGTGAAAATGGAGGGGGGGGGGTCTAAGCTTTTCCTGGGTTAATATGGTACTGAAAAAGCAGACTGCACATTAGGATGCCCGAAACGGTTTAACTGGAAGAAATGTGGATTCTCATCAGAACAAAAAGAACAGTGATAGAGTGAAATATAAGATCCAAATGACTTACAAATGTTATAAACATATTGTGTTACATAGCCCGTAAAATTACTGAAGTCAGCATCTCTTGGGAGCCTCTTTAGTGCTACACCAAAGTCCTATTTCACAGCTTTGGAGGAAACTAGACTGCTTTGTTCCTCCCAAATTTTTAAAATCTCATACATGTTCCTCGAACACTTTTAGATCTAACAGAGAGTCTTTACATGACAGCTTCAGATTGATTACTTTATTTGATTCATAAAAATTAGAAAAGAACATATTCACAAGATTGAAATGTTCTACAGCGACTAAGTTCTGTAAAATATGATGACAAAAAATTATGATTCTTAGTTTTTCAAAACCAAGAATTCTGAGATATTTTTTTATCTCATTCCTGTGAAACAAATAATTAGAACTATCTTCACCTTGTGAGCTGCCGTATAACTGCATCACCCCTTCTAATCACTTAAGCTTCACTGTTTTATATTGGCGCTAAACTAACCAATATTAAGAGATGTCCTGTATGCCCTGTATTTACTTCACTATAAGTACCTGAGAAAAGCGCTTCCTGAACTCCAAAAGGCAAACGTGAATGTAGCCTACCAGATCACAAATAACTTTATTTAGAAAAGAACAATTCAGTAGTGATTTACTCTTCGGATTCGCAATTTTGAGCTTGTAACATGACGTATTAACAACAAAAACGTACTTTAAACGACTCATAACAAACGAAACTCCAATTTAATATATACTTTCTATTTTTTATGTTTAAGTATTTCATTCATGTTTATTTGACAAATAGATAAAAATGTTTTAATTATTACATTTAAAATAACTAAAACATTCAGTGAATCGTTGTTCTTTCCTCAAAAATGTTGGGGATTTTTTTTCTCCTTTCTGATTTTAAAAGTTAGTTATTATGTTACGGGTCTGTCTGAGATGATTAGTGAGGATAGGTTTGATACACTGATGGGGATAAAATATTGAAATCTATCAAAGCAAACTTTTGTTTCATGCTGCAGAGGTTCTGTCTGGATTTTTTTTCTCACCACCTTCTTGCAGCGCAGACTGCACCTCCCGGCCGAACGCTCCATGCTCCCTGTACGCCGCATGAGAGTACGGATATTCCGCTTTCCCCACCGAGTACGCGCCGCTGGGGGCCATCCCGTTCAGGTTGTAGTGGTGGTGGTAGGTGTACGGGTTCATGTGAGAAGCTCCGTACGGCTGCTGCGCTGCGTAAAAGTCCTGCGTGCCGTGGTGCAGCGCGCTCTGCCCGCTGTAGAAGCCCGCGTCAGCGGAGGACTCCGACAGGTTGGGGGGGGAGTCCTTGTTGGAGATCGGGGTCCCCGCAGCCAAAGGCAGGGAAGGTTTCTTCTCCTCAAAGGCAGGTGAAGATTGCTCGTTCATGTTGAACTGATAGCTTCAGTTGTTTTAACTTTCTCTGCAGTCGGCCCTGTTTGCTCTAAACTCCTGCTACCCTCACTCACTGTGGAGTTGGCGTTCCCAAACTCCCTTGACGCAGCAGCCAGCCAGGCTGTCCACCGTGGCGGGCGGCGCCCAAACCAGCAAGAGCTCCTAATTACAGGGCGCGCCGTGCTGAGCCAAGCCAGGCAGGACAGAGAGGAGTGGATGTCTCCTTCTCATTGGCTCTCGAGCCTGTGCCCTAAAGCCAAGACAGTGTTCACTGTCGCCTGTCTGGCTCCCCTCTCCTCCCCGCAGAAACGCACATAAGCCTCTTCACGAGCTTGAATCTCAGCGCATGAACCCTTGACAAAACTTAAAGAAAGATATTATGCAAAATCCCATAGGCTTCAATCTTTCGTCATTTGGTATATTACATATTAATGAATTACTACATGAAGAAATATTATATTCACAAGTAAACTAGTGAGTAAACAGCACCACGAGATGGGGTGAGGGTTGAGGCAGGATTAGAAATGTTAAGCTTGAAACAATTCACAGGGAACAGTTTGCCCCATCCTTTGAAACTGGAAAGTGTGCACATGTCTAAAGGGCATGGTTTTACTCCAAAACATTAGATTGATTAATCATAGAAACAGCAGAAAACATTTTTATGCACACTATCCAAGATAGAAGGAAAAGTGCTCAAAAAGTTACAAGGAGCAGGCCTATCATATATATTTAGAGTGCAACCTTTACATTTTGAGAAACTGTATCTGTTGCAGGGAATTTGCACTACACATCAGCATGAACAAACCATTGCTAGAGTGAAAAACACTGTGGCAACATCATGCTGAAGAAAGGCCGCTCAGAGTTGATGGAAGAATGGAGAGAGCAACATAAATACAAGGTAATCCTGGAGAAAAAAACAGTTGCAAAGACTTCAGCCCAGCTCTTTGAGCTACAGCTTTCAGCAGGATAGAGACAACAAGATTAAAGCTATTTGTGGAAAGATTTGAAAATTACTGTTTACAGACTTTCTTGTTTCATCTGACCAAATGTAAACTATCTTGTAGAAAGAATAGAAAAAATCTTTCTGTTTCTATATGTGCAAACTTGGTAGAGACTTTCCCCACAATAATTACAAAACTAATAGCACTATTGAGCGGGCCGAAGAAAAATGCATGTCACACTTTATAGATTTATATTGAAAAGCATATTCAAAACTAATTATTTTTTTACTCAACAGTTCCACACTGTCCTCTGTTTGTCTCTGTCATAAATACAAACACCTTGGATTATACAACAATAAATGGTGAAAAATATCCTCAGAGGTTGAATATTTTTGCAAGGAAATGTATACGGTATTAAAAGCCTGGACTACTGAACTTCAGTGAGGCAGATAAAGGTAATGATGTCCTGATAACAGGTGTTTGCACACTAGGCTTAAGGTGCTGCCTCTCATTCAGATGCAAAACTAAAACCAGGTGCTGTTGGGAGTTATTTAAAGTTAATCGAGTCTCTTTAATGGACTTTTCTTTTTGCCATATGCCCGAGGGAAGTCAAACAATTCCTACTAATGGTTTTGTTCTATTCTATACTAAAAGGCAAATATGGGAACGTAATAACCTTGTAGAACTTGAGAAATTAGTTATATCTCACAGCCCTACATATATAATAATAATAATAAATAATAATAATAACAATAATAATAATAATAATAATAATTGAACTTTATTGATCTCACATGAAACATTAATTAGGCATGTAAGCCAGCGAAACCTTTCCTGATTATGTTGATGGGGATCCTATGAACTCTGCAAAAGTATGACATTTCAATCTGTTGCAGGTCTAGCTAAGGTTAAACAGGAAAGTAAAAACTGTAAAAGACTACATTTTTTCCCTACCACATGCTGTCCTTTGGATCAATACCTCCACCTTAAGACATATATAAATATAAAGCTTTTATAATCCATCCATTATCTCTGCTGCTTATTCCATCAGGGTCACAGTGGAGCTAGTGCCTATCTCCAGCAGTCTATGAGCGAGAGGTGGGATACACCCTGGACAGGTTGCCAGTCTATCCCACGGCAATACAGAGACACACAAAGACATACAACCATTCACAGACAGTTACCCCTAAATATATATATATACATTTTCAGAGAAGGTAATAAACCTATCAGCCCTGTTTTTGGACTATGAGAGGGAGCCAGAGTGCCCAGAGAGATCGAACACATGCACAGGGAAAGCATGCAAAATCCATGTAGAAAGACCATGGGCTGGGAATTAACACCAGGTGGCACTGTAACCATCAGGGATGTTCCAAACGCAAGAAATTGAAAGTTTTGATCATTCAGTTTTATTATCATTTCATTATAATTTAAGAGTACTGTGCTCCATTATTCGGGTAAACCCAAAGATAATAAAATCTGCAGATTGCTCCCAGTTTTAGAGTAAGGTGTCAATAGTTCTCAAATCTGCAGACAAAATGTTTTTTTTTTAATGCCACAAACAACTAGAAATAAACACTTTTCTCTCCAATAGTGTTCTTATTTAAGATTTTTAGTCATTCCTTGATGTTTTTCTTAAATAGTTTATAACCTTTGCTTTCATGTAGCCTGTATGTAAATGATTCTGCCATAGACCTATAGGAAGCCTCCACTGGAGTAGATTGTCTTGATAAAATATAATTCAAAATCCTCCTTCTCACATATGAAGCCCTTCATAACAAAATCCATCTTATATTAGAGGGCCAATTGTTTCTTATGTTCCCAACAGAGCATGTCACTCTCAATCTGCAGGTTTACTAGTAGTTCTTAGAACTTCTAAAAGTAGAATGGGAGACATGTCTTTTATTAATCAGGCTCCTCTCCTGTGGAACCAACTACCAGTTTTAGTCTGTGAGACAGACACCCTGTGTCTGGCTTATGGCTCAGGTTATCCTGAGCCATAAGCCATCTTTTGGTTATGTCACTATAGGCTTAGGCTCCTGGAGGACAAAGGGACCACTTTACATTGTTGTTATTCATTCTATCTCTATTCCCCAATGTGGCTCCTATCTTTCCACAGAGACAATGGCAGGGCTAGGTAACCGCCGGGACCTGGGCAGCCAGGTAACCTGTGGGAACCCAGCAGCTTGCCCCCCCACCCCCCATGTATTTTGATGAACGGCTGTACTGAAACTGTAATTTAAACATTTATAATTTCCCTCTGTGATTACTAAATTATGTCTGATTCTGATTCAATTCACCTATTCTGAATTATTTACCTCCAAAACCTTTCTTCTCTCTGTTTGTTCCTGTCATAGTAGTTTCATCTGGTCTGCTTCCGTTTGGCTATGACTCCATTCTGGAGGGAAACATTAGCCGGGCTGCTGGCATCAGCATATTTGAATGTAGATGATAAAAGTTTGGGCTGTTTTCTAGTGTTTAGTCCTGTTTCTTTCTGAGACATGGTTATAGGAATAGGGTTATTGCTATAACCTGCTTCTGCTTCATTCTATCTCTGTCCTCCTAATCTGCAGAATCTTTTAGTACAATCTCTAACGTTATGCTCTCTCTTCTTTTTCTCATAGTAGCTTTGCCTCGTCTGTTCCTGTTTGGCTGTGACGCCATCCTGGAGAGGAATATCAGCTGTGCTGCTTCCATCAACACCCTTGTTTATAGATGCTGGAGATCAGCCTGTTTTCCAGTGTAGTCCTGTTTCTCTAACCGTCACTGGCTGGATGTGCTCTCTTCATCCTCTGACATGGGAGTTGGCTCGGTGCTCTTCTGCCTGACTGTGTGTTTCCTGGACGGGGCCACCTTTTACAGCTGCTTTTTGTATCTCTGCTTCTGTCTCTTTGAATCCCAGTCGGCCTCAGCAGAGCCTGGTTCTGCTGGAGGTTTCTTCCTGTTAAAAGGGAGTTTTTCGTCTCCGCTGTCGCTACAAGCATGCTTAGTGTGAGGGATTTTATTTTAGTCAATAAGTCGATGCAATCTACTGGTTTTCCTTAGATAGAAAACTTTGAATCAATTTGACTGTATGATCTTGAGAACTGTAAAGTGCCTTGAGATGACTTGTGTTGTGAATTGGAGCTATATAAATAAACTGAATTGAATTGAATAACCTATAGGGTTGTAGATTATAGCTTTTAATTTGATGTGCTGGTCTATCCCTTTTGACATGAAAACTTGCACAGAGCTCATCAACTGTTTTATTACCTACACAGAGCCACTTATGGAGCTAGTTTACTGTATTACTGCAAGTATTTGATCACAGTTTCTTTCTCTGGTTTTCTCTCATTGAACCAACAGCCAGCCTCGGCAGAAGGTTGCTCACACTGAGGCTGGTTCTGCTGGAGGTTTCTCCCTGTTCAAAATGAGTTTTTCCACTGTAGCTGCATGAATGCTGAGTGTGAGGGATTGCTGAAATGTCTACAATACAATGCAAGCTAATGTTTGATGTCACTACATGCTCATCCAGAGTGACCGTTTTCTGCTAAATCAATGACTTGATGCAAACTGTTGGCTACAAAACTTATAACCATTCAGTCTATAAAGTGCCTTGAAGTGACATGTGAATTAGCACTATTAGAAATAAACTGAATTACAACCTCAAGTCTTTAGTGAAATTGAGTTTCTCATTTTGATGTTTTTTTTTCATCATCAAAAAGAACTGTTCTTTTGGTAAAGATAATCTTAACCTGTTTTATTTTTCTTGCATTACTAATACAGATACAAATTCTCACAGCTATCAGGCATTTGGTCGAAATTCACATAAATATAAAAAGTCAACAACTTATAACAATAATTGCTACACTGCTTAAACTTTTTATTTGTTTCCTGAAAAAGCCAGAGATAGAAAGAAAATACCGTTGAAAGTAGTAAATAACAAGGGACAAAAGGAAGACAGAAATATTGAAAGGAAGCGAGGAAGGAATGAAGACAGAGCAATGGCAGATTATAGGGCGGAACGATTGAAGGACAAAGGAATGAGGAACTAACTGATGACTGAATAAAGGAATTAAACTAGGACAGATAAGAGAATAGAGAAGGAATACATGAACGAACAAAGAAGAATGATCCAAAAAAAAAAAAAGAAAAGAATAAAAATAACAGGGAAGGAACACATGTGAACACAAAAAAAGTATTTTTTTCTCATCAACTGTATATTAGAGGCCTTATGGACGCAAAGTGATGAAGGCTGC